CCGGTGCCCGCCAAGCCGGGGCCTTGGGAGGCTGTTGGCTGCCAGGCTGCCAGCGGGACTAGGGAGGGTGTGTGTGTGTGTGTGTGTGTGTGTGTGTGTGGTGGGGGAGAGTTCCTCTCCCGGCCTACCAGGAGAGGTGGAGGTGGGTTAGAGTGGGTGGGGTTGGGGTGGGAGGGTTGCCAATTCTCATTGATAAAAAAAAGTGAGCCACTCTCGGAGAAAGCACTCGGAATCCGCGCTGGAGTCACTTGCAAAGCACATAAACATTTGTCATCTCTGAATAATTGAATTAATGTGTTATTGTTTGAATGTATAATTCATAAGGGAGGAAACTTTGTCTCTGTCTGAGGGGGAAATATACACACACCAAAAAAAGAAATCAAAACACACTCAATCCCCAAACAACCACCAAACACAGCCAGCCTCTCCTCATGGAGATTATCCTCAAAGCCAAGGAGAGGGAAGGAGGTCAATAAGGAGGCTGTCCTCCCGGGCATCCTGGCGGGATCTGGGGAATTTTCGAGCCCACAGCCCGAATACCCCGCAAGCGGGAGGTGGGATGGGAGCGGCCTGGGTCTGGAAGCTCGAATCTCCTCGGTGTGGTGTGCCGAAGGAAAAGGGCTGAAATGGGAGCCAGTAGGAGCTCCAGCCTTTGCATCTGCCCTGGCCTCTCCTGCACATCCCTCTCCCCAGATTTCCACTCACCCCGGGATATCCCACTTCTGAGGCAAAGACTCCCCCCACACACACAATCGGCTTTATTTTGTATCTTTCCCCAAACGTATCCACACAAAAATAAAGGGGAAGAAGGGGAAACTCCTTGCTGGGATGACAGAAGCAGCAGCGCCTCGGTGGGAGGGAGGGCAGTGGGAGAAGCAACTCGGAAATCATTATCTGTTGGTTAAAACCTGCCTGGGGTAAAATTTCAACTCGATTTTATAGCCTCCTATTATGACGCAAAGAAAAAAATTTACGACCCTCGCTTGAAAAGAGGGCTGGGGCCTTTTCTCACCGGTTTAAGAATAGGCGGCAGATGCCGTGACAGCGACTATTGTTCCCCGTAGACACAGGCGACCGGGCAACGCCGGCCCCGCGCGCGCCGGGCGCATCCCCCAGCCGGGGGCTCTCCGGTCCCGCTGTCCCCGCCAGCACCCTCGCCCCCAGGTCCTCTCTCTCTCTCTCTCTCTCTCTCTCTCTCTCTCTCTCTCTCTCTCTCTCTCTCTCTCTCTCTCTCTCTCATTTTTCATACGTGCAAACCTTTGCTGCACCAAAGGTCACCATCCAAGAAGCCACTAACAACTCGCCAGCGCGCAGTTCAGAGCCGGGCAGCAAAGGGAGCTATTTGTCAGCGGCCCTGACAGCCACCTTCATTAAGGATTCAAATCCAGAGAAATAAAAAGTCGCCAAAATATTTACCTGCCGGCCGCGCTCCCGCGCGCTCCGCGGGGCCGGGCGGAGGCCGGGGCGCCGGGCCGGGCGGGCGGTGTCCGCGGGTGGGATCCCTGCGCGTCCCGAGTCGGAGGAGCCCTGTGCGCGGCAGATTAATGACGGCTCCGTGTTCCTTAAGGGGCGCGCTGAATTAATTATTTCGCCAATCACGTGGCCGGGGACTTGTAGAAATCTATTCTTATCATCTTCCTCGCACTTTGAAAATTCTCCGGGTTATGCGCGGCCCTCCCCCAGCCGCCAGCGAGCCGGGGCCGCCAGCCCGGCGCGGGGGGCAGGGAGGGCTCCCCAACATGGCGGGCGGCGGGAGGCGCCTCTGCCGCCTCCGAGGGGCCGCTCCACGGGCCTGGGCTCCGGCGGGCCCGGCGGTGGCCTCGCTTCCTCCCCGGCCCGGCCCGCGGCCCCACACACGGCCCTCCTGATGGATGGGTGCGCACAGGAGGAGCCGTTAGCCGGGAGCCAGGCACAGGACAATCCTAGGATGTGTCTGAATATTTAAACTTCTGTCTGCGCGCTTATAAATACACATGTCCACGCGTCCGGGGCGAGCGCTTCCATATATTAAGGACACATGTCTGATTTTACGCATTCTGCTCATTTCCTGTCTCGAGCAAGCGCCCCCCCCATTCCCACCCCCATCTACTTTGCAACTGCTGTCTTCGCCCCTTTTCTAGGAGAGGCACACACACACAAAAAAAAGCCCTCGTGATAAAAAATAGCGCAGGCCACTTGGATACTGGGGAGTGTTTATTGTCGTCTGGAAAGCAGAGGGGGCGCTAGGGTTGAGGAGGGGCAGTGCTAGAGGCCCCACGAGGGTTGAGTCCCACCAGAAAAGTAGAAAGAGCCCAAGATTGCTGGCCAGAGGGGTCAGGTCGGAGCAGCCACCGGTCAGTCCCAGCCTGGCCCAGAACCCAACACCGTACAGCCTCTCTTGGAGTTGGGGGTGGGGTGGGGAGACCTCCCACCCACCGTGGTACAAACAGAGGCTGGGGTCTAGGGCTGATTGGGGCCACGGAAGAAAGCCAACCTGGAGCCTTCTTTTAGGCCAGTGACTTATTTTCCTAAAAAAAAAAAAAAAAAAAAAAAAAAAAAAAAAAAATGATGCCCACCACCCAGCAGCCTGATTTCAACCCCAGACTTCCCAATGCTCACAAAATAACAGGGTGGCCAAATTGGCAGTATGTATTGTATGTGTGTATGGGGGAGGGTATAATGATAGAATTGTGAAGCCTTACACAGGTTAACCTTCATATGCCAAGCACATTTCAGAAAATAAAAATAAAAAAGTTTATATTGAATGTTAGCTGTCAGAAGACTTAATGAAGAATGCTTCTGTGGAGGCACCACCAAACAGGAGGGAGATTTCGCTATACCTTTTATTTCAAATATAGATCAATGAATTACATCAAAACTACAGGCAACAATTAGTATAAATAATACTTTAATCAGTGGCAGCAGAACATTGGTCAATTCTATTTAAAAAGCATCTTGTGTGAACAAACACCACGGGCTGACTGACAATGTCATCTCCCGACAAAAGGCTGCGATGGACAGAGTGAGATGGGAGTTCGGGAAGCAATGTCCTCAGCAAATACTTCATCCCCCACCCCCTAGTCACAACCCCAACACAGCTTTAAAAAACACCACCACCAAAACAAACACTTCTGGCTCATATTTGGGGGAACAGAGTGGAAACAAATAAAAGCAAATGGGCACTGAGCCTTTCCACATCCAGCTTTCTCTAGAGCACGTTCCCAGATGGAAGCTCATTTCCTCCCCTGCCCTAGGTGGCTTGGGGGTGGTTGCGGGGTGGGGGTGGGGGGCACTGCTCTTCCCTGCCCCGCCCCTGTGGGCCCAAATGGATTCTGAGGTCCAGTTAGGACCTCAGGGTCCTGGGCTGCCCTCTGGGCCATCCAGGCTAAATTAACATTTCAAAAGGCAATTCCTGGAAGCTGAGAGGGAGAGCTGAGGACTTATAAACAAAGAAGTTTTTTCTCTGATGAAGTTACTTTCCTAAGCCATGGGGCTAGGTTTGAGAATGAGCCTGGATTTTCTCCATCCAAACTTTCCTCTTGGCTTTCTGTTGGGACAGGGGTGAAGGTGTTGAAGTAGTTTTGGCATTTGGCCCAAAGCTGGGTTCAGTGACCTGAACTTTTGGGGATGGGGGGGTGGGATCTATAAACAATCTCTATCATATATATGGGGTGGGCAAAAGTAGGTTTACAGTTGTAAGTATGCGAAATAGGATTTATTCTTCTATTAGTATTTATTAATTATTGTATCACTTATTTGTATCACACTGTGAACCTACTTTTGCCCACCCCTGTATAGCAGTTGGTTGTTGTGAAAACATACTAACTCCCCCCCCCCTCCCCAAACCCAGGAGAAGTTAAATGTATTCACAGATCTGGGTTTTAAGAAAGAATTTTAGCAACTTTCCAACTTGTCCAAGGATAACTGCTCTTTTCAAATGTTACATCCAAAGACCGCTCTCCATGTTAGAAGGGAGGAAAAAAAAGAAGAGAAGGGTAGTTAGAGTCCAAAAGGTTAAGGGTTTAGAGGTCAGTCCTCCCGGCTGAAATACAGCTAATCGAATAGAAAATTTGTCCTCTGGATGAACCTGATTCTGTAATTTAGCCCCGAACTTCAGTAAAATACCTTTTCAGCTTCTCAACGTGAGGGTGTCAGAAAAAAGACATCTTGACTATGTATGAACTCTGTGCTTTTTGTCATAGAAACAATGATGTGAATAATGCAGGAATATCCATCTTTAATATCCCGACGTGCCGATATTCAAGTATTGCCATGTGCAAGTCTGAGAGCCAGGCTCACCCCAAAGAGAAACAAAGAGCTGTCCCCAGGGTCTAATACAAAAGACCAAGGCTTGGGAGATACTTTAGAGAAGTGGAATTTCAGCCGAGGGACTCCAGTGAATACCTGCCCTCAACTCTCAGGAGACACTGAGCCAAAGAACGTGGCTGCAGAGAAAATCTTTTCTTTTCCCTACACTTAAATGCATTTTTAATTACCACTGAAATCTTCTAGAAAGTTCAGAAGCACTGAAAAAAATAAAATAACTCCAATTCTGAGTCTCTCTTTCAAGCTCGCCCTTTATCCCTCCCCGCTTTTTGTCACTTTTTGATAGCTACAACCTGGGGCTTCTTTTTGGTGCCTGAGGCTTTGGGGTTTAAACTTTCCAAGCCTTGTTTCATTTGAGTCTATAGACTCTGGCCATTACCTTTGACTCTTTCCCCCTTATCCCTAAGGGTCAACATTTTAGAAAAATGAGCTTTGAACCCTTCCCAGGCAAGGGAAAATGACTTAAAAATCTCTCTCCTGTTGTTTGAGAGCGATTGTTTTAAACCACTGTTCTCAAAACAAGGAAGAGGGCCTGAAAACTTTTGTACTTTTACCATTTCTGCCCCTAACTAATGGATTGAGAAAACACCTCCTTAAGGTTTGTTTTAAAAATAAAAACTTCAGGGGGGAAAAAAACCCAAGACCAACTTTCGTGGATTTCCAGATTCAATTAAGTTGGGGTTTTTTTTCTTTTCCTTTTTAAATTAAGACTTCCTCTACTTCCCACTTTCTTCCCACTGCACACCTCCTTCTCCCAAATAGGCCATACACCAGTTCCTATAAAATACTGCTCTGTGGGCTGTTTGGGCATTTGGAATCCAGTTGGAACAGAAAATTCGGTCATTATCAAATGACCCAGAACAGAGGTTTTGTTTTCTTTCCCCAGAAGGAAAATGTTGGACCATTTGTTTCTTTCTTTTCCCCCCTTTCCTTTAACAACCTTTAATACTGGTTGTAGCACAGTGCTGGGGGGAAAAAAAGCACATGTGGAGATATATTTTCAAGAATGCAACTCAGAGTGGACTCTTTGCTTCCCTCTAGAAGGGTTAAGGGCCCCTCCACACATTTCCGGGGAATGGGGAGGGGGTGGGGTTCAGAATGCCAGTTACAGCCTGAAGTAAGTCCACGTCTCTGATTCCGTCCCCTGAAATTTGGCCCCTTTCACCATCTTAAGGCTTTTGGCATTAAGATGTCAGTTATTTCTGCACCCCATTCCCCAACAAATAAATATTTAAGCAAATATCATCTAAACACAAAATAACCCGTTTCCACTTCCTTCTTAGACTCATTTCTTTGGGCATGGGCCAGTGGGAACGATATATATATATATAATTTCACCCTGGAAATTATATAGACAACCTAGAAAGTTCAGAAATCCTGGCACAGCTCTCCTGCTTCCACTGAAAGCACCTCGCACAGGGGTGGCTAACCTGCTGCCTCAACTCCCCCACATTATAAACCACAGCGATCCCTGGAGAGGTGGGGGTGGGGGAGGATGTTCAAATTCACACTGGGGTAAAGCATTCAACCTTCATTTGTAAATTCAAAATCCAACAGCGGAGATTTTCATGAGTTTAATGACTGGCCAAGGTTTTACTGTTCTCAGTAGCTCCTGCCATATGATAATATACTTAGAGAGAGAGAGAGAGAGAATCCCATCCTCCTCCCACCCCCACACCCGCTCCGGGTAGGGGGCTGCCCTCGGGCAGGATGCTAACCTAGTCCAAGGACGGCCTGCACGTCCCAGGTCCACCCTACAGTACCTTAGAGCCCAGCGAGGTGGCAGCAGGCCGGGCCTGCCCCCGCGGCTTCGGCTCAGCCGGGAGCGCAGGCAAGGATGGGCCCAGGGTCCCTGCTTCTATAAGGCCGTCAGGTCCGTGTGGTGGTCCTTGGGCAGCGGCTGCAAATGCTGGGCTGGGGCAGCCGAGGAGGAGGAGGAGCAGGAGGACGAGGAGGAGGATGAGGACCTGCCTTTGGTGTTGGGCAGCTTGTGGTCCTTTTTCCACTTCATCCTCCGGTTCTGGAACCAGATCTTGATCTGGCGCTCGGACAGACACAAGGTGTGAGCGATTTCGATCCGACGGCGCCGCGTCAGATACCTGTTAAAATGGAATTCCTTTTCCAGTTCTAGGACTTGCTGCCGGGTGTAGGCCGTCCGGGACCGCTTGGGCTCCCCGCCCGTGTAGTTGGGGTTCACTGGGAGACAAAACAGGCAGCACGGTCAGGTCAGCGCCCGGCCACCAGTTAGGCCCCTGGCCAGCGCGCACACTTCCTGGCGCGCCCAGGCCCTCCCAGCGCTCCCAGCCGCTCGCCCTCCCTCCCTCCCGCCCTCTCTCCCAGCACACAGGCTCGCTCCTACCACCACCTCACACCAACCCACTCCCCCACGCTGGCAGGCGGGGATCCCCAACTGTGCTCCCACCTCCCCGGCCCACCGAAAGCTGCGGAATTCCCAAGCATTTTGGAAAGCCCCCATTCCTCTCCATCCTGGAGCTTCTGTTCTGGAAATGGAATCCTTCCCCCCCACACTCATCTCCACCCCCTTTTTGGCCCACAGACATGCAGCCAGCCACCACATGGCCCTGGCCTGCTCCCTCGGCTCTAAAAATGTATGGAGAGAATCACCGAGGTGCCCACTGAAGCCCCACGCGCCCACCCCACCCCCACCCCCACCCGCACCCCCTCCCAGGCCTCCCGGGTCCCAGGCCGCTGGGCTGGGCGAGGGCTGCGAGGTCGCTGGGCCCTGGGCCGGCGCCTTACCAGAATTCACGTGCACCTTCTTCATCCAGGGGTACACCACGGCCGGCTGCTTGAGCGCCGTCCCCGGGGGCGGCTGCTTGGGGCCGCCCGGCTGGCTGCAGGCCCGGGCGCCGGGCAGGGGCGCGGGCGGGGGCGCGGGGGGCGCGGGGCACGGCTCTCCCGGGGCGCCGTAGTGGCCCGCCGGCTCCTGCGCGGGACCCCTCGTGGGCAGCGCCGAGCCGGGCCCCGGGCCGCCGCCGCCGAAGGTCTGCTCCCCGAAGTCGGGCCGCGGGTAGAGCCCCGGGGGCTGGAAGTCAGAGCCCTGGGCGCCGCCGCCGCCGCCGCCGTAGTAGTCGGCTCCCTGCTCGCCTAGGTAGCCGCCCTGCAGATACTCCTCGCAGGGAGGGAACTTGGGGTCCACATACTTGGAGTTCACCATATACGAACTCATGGCCATTAATTTCGGAAGGTAGAAAATACTAATTTTTCTCGTGTTGTCTTTTTTTCTCCTGCCATAGGGCCCTCCTACTTGCTGTCAACTGAATAAAGTTGGCGGCCATGTGACCGGGCCAGCCAATGGCGAGGGAGCCAGTTTATCACCGGGTTGGTGAGCATCTCATAATTTTCGCAAATTTAACTAAATAACATACGTGTAATCAAGTGACTCGCTGCGGCACATCCGAGGGCCCTCAAGAGATGGGAATGTGCTTCTAACCCTCAGCACCCTCATTCCCTCCCCCCCGCAAAGTGATCCCAGCTTTTGTCTGCCCCAGACTTTGCTAACCTCCAGTGTGCCCTCTCCACTCAGCGACCCGCCAGAAAACAGCCCCCCAAAGTGGGCACAGCTCAAAGTGGACTGAATCCGGGTATCTGTGGGAGTGTAGGCACCAGAAGGCAGGTGGGTGAGGCGGCGGTGGCAGAGTTGGGCAGAATACCCCAGCAGGCAGAGCTCCCGCCAGCCCCTAGCCGCGGAACGGGGACTCTGCCATACATACAAAGGCTCAGTCCCGGCTTTGTCTTCGTCAGGGTCACCCAAAAGTTACTACGATCTGGCTGGCCTGCATCAATCTCGGCAATGAGTAACCGCCCAGCGTTCTGTGAGTGTCCACGCTGGGGCATTTCTAGCCAAAGCCAGGCCTCGCAGGTATGGCAGGAGGTTCCCATTGCCTCGGCCCCCTGAAGCGAAGAGGTGTGCCAGGAAGATGGCGAGGGTACCCCGCCATCCAAACGGACCCCAAAAGGACCCTGCACTCCTGCTTTCCAGCTCACCTCCTTCTCACGGGGCAGTCAAAGGCCAGTGAGCCCCTCAGTGGGCACCTTCCAACCTCACGCTCCTTGGGGGCAGAGCTGGGGCTACCTAGCCTCCCACCGCACTCCCCAGTCCTCCAAACCCTAGCCCTTCGGCTCCGAATTCCTGCAACCAATTAGGGGTTTCCAGGGAGCCTCTGTAGATAGGCGAGGTGCTTCGTGAAGAAAAGGGTGCTCTGTGTCACCAGGCTCAGTCAATCCTCTCATCATCCTGGGGTCCAACGTGATGAGAGAGAAAGAGGTGGTTGACCCGCCCCGACTGTTTCTGGCCTCTCCTTCTGACTCAGGCTATTTTTGGAGAAAAGTGAAGTTTTTGCATCGACCATATATTCCCCTAGAATCGAATCTGTGACTATGTGGACACCACACAAATTCGGTTCTACAGGGTATATATAGACAACGTTACTACGTCCAAGTTCCACCCAAACCGGGTGCCCAGACCGCTGCTAGCCTTGGCCTCTTCTTCGGAGCCACCACCAGCCGACACAGCCGCTGGCATTTTCAAGGACGGCTCAGGTACCCCGAAGGGCTTGGGGGCAATTTGCAGCAATGGGTCCCCCGCCCTTTTCCTAGGGCCGGGCTCCCAAGCAGCCAGGGAGCCAGAACAGTTTTCCTAGGGAAGAAAAAATATTCATCCCAGAAATGGTGGTCTTATTATTATTCCTCTTTCTCCAATTCCAATACACACACACCCCCCACCTTATCAAGTGGTATTTTCCAGAAAGGAGCAAATGCCTTCAGTGGCAGAAGAAAGGCAAGAGAGGAATATCCTCCACCCATTATTTTTCTGAGCCAGGTCGGCTGACAAAGCTGGTTCTTCCAGAAGTCGCGCATTTACCTTCCTGGGCCCGGCTGGCCTCCATCCTGCTGCTGCTGTTGCTGCAGACCCCAGGCAGGCGCTGCTCGCAGGCACCAAGCTGCCCTGGGCCGGGGCCAGTGAGCTAATGGTGAAGGGCAGGGTGAGGGGTCATTCAAAATCATTTACAAACATATCACAAAGTTTCATTATTTTTGCTTTGCCGACAGCAGCACACAAGGGTACAAAAGTTCACGGATTGCGTGCCTGCCCCAGCGCTTCAGCCCAGGGCCCGGATGAATTTCAGGGGCAGAGGGATGCTCAGGCTTGCATGAGGCGTTGGGGTCCCTGACTGTAGGGCAGAGGCGTTAAAATGTTGATTGTTTTGTTTTTCCACTCACGTTTCAAAAATTTGTTTTTGGCCTGGTGGGGCGGAGCAGGGGGACTCCCCTCTGCCGCCCCCCCCCCAGCCTGGCAAAATTGGTTGCCTGCTTCTAGAATGCACTTTGCACACTCCCCCCACCCCAATCCGTTGGTTCCAGTGCTTTAGCGATTTTGTAGGGATTTCCTGGTGCTAATTCTAAGGAGAGCTCTGAGGCTGCCCCAGCCTACTTCCCTCGTCCCAGAGAGATTCCCCCCAACAACCCCTAATGCCAAATGCTCCCCCACACTCCCCATCTTGGGGACACTGGATCTAGGCTTTATCCAGGCAAATTGGGGGAGCCTGCTGGGTCGGGTGGGGAAACAGTGGTACACATTTTCATATTTGTTAGACGCTGTGACCTGCATTTCACCTTATTGCTCGACTTGTTCAGACAGGTCAAAGCCAATGAGTTATTGATGAACAAAAGCGTTAAATATTCACCTCCCGCACAACTGCTCATACAAATGCTTTGATCTACGGGGTTTTTGTGCTGTGTTTCGCTACAGGGTGCCAAATGTGGGTTTTTCAAGCAGGGGGTGGGGGGCGTCAGCAGAGATGAGCACCCAAGAGCCAGGGCAACGGGCAGAAAGGGGGCAAGACAAGAGGGTCCTGAGGATGTCAGTCTTTCCAGCCTGGAGTCAGAGCCATTTCACTCAAGCCAGTGTGGTTTGTACAGAGAAACTATGTACTGGTGAAATCTCCCCTTCTCCAGTTAGCATGTCTCTCCGCCCCCCTCCCCCCCAGGGAGCTGACTGAGCTGCCCAGCCTGGAGGCAAAGAAACCTGGCCCAGAGTCAAGTCCCAGCTTCTGGGACCCTGGAGAGAGGGAGGGTGCCTGGTTCCTATAGCCCTCACATATTCCATCTCTCATTAAAATAAACCACCTCCGTTTTGCAGTGAGGGAGGGGGCCGCTTTTCCCCTTGACTCTTGAACCACCACCTTGATGCTGGAACCACTACCTTGATCTTAATGAGGCACCCTTCCTGAAACTCCCAGGGCCTCCTCGGATAGGTACCTTTCTCCTGTGGCACATGCAACTCAGAAAGATCCAAATTCTGAGCCCAGGACCCCCAAAATCTATGCCCCCACCTCACCCCTCCCAATCACCTTCCCCCCTTGTTTTCCTGCAACACCAGCGGCTCTGGCGCAAAAATTTTCCAATTGCAGCTACAGAAGAATGAGAGGTGAAGGAGAAGGGCATATTCCTCCTTCCTTACTCAGCCCGTGACCCCAGCCCGGACCCCAAACGGCTGAGGCTGGGGCCGGGGGAGAGCTGAGGAGGGACTTGCATCTAACACTCAGAATCCGCAGCCCTACCTGGAGGAAGCTTGCCCACCCAACACAGCCGAAGAGTGGGTTTTGTTTGTTTGTTTGTTTCCTCTCTTTTTCTTTCTTTTATTTCATAAAAAAAAAAAGAGAGAGAGAGAGAAGGGTGGCCCTGGTGGGACCAGGTTAAGTTGGGCTGGGCTGCGGAGGCAGAGCGCGTTGCCTTGGTGCTTGGCAGGTTGGTTCTAGCAGAAGGCGATGAGCGGCAACTTAATAGGGCGGCTGCTAATGAGCTGCAAGCTCCCAACAGAGCAGAGGCGCCCTCCGGCCGGCCGGGCTGCACCTGTGCGGGCTGGGCCGCCGGGGAGGAAGGCCGGGAGGTCCAGGGAGGCCCAGGAAGATGCGGGGAAAGCCCGCGTGGCACGTTCCCTTGGTTAGGTAACGGGGAGCTAGGCCCCAGAAATCTTTCCCCGGGAGCTCCACGGAGAGCCTCCACCTCCAAAGCGAGCTCCCCTCCCCTGGGCAGGCAGGGGAGGCAGGGCCGGCCCTCCACCCGCCCACTCCCCGCCGCGGCCCTCGCCCACCACCTCCCCAGCCAGCAACACCGCCCTGCGGGTTCGGAGAAAACGGGAAGGTACTTACAGCGCCGCCGGTCTCCCCTGGTCCCGAACCTGTTGCAGTGAAAACGGGGGTCACTTAAATGCCACAGGATAATAAAGCAGGCATAGATGATACACAGGGAAATGACAAGGCCCCGACACCCCACCGATACCCAGACCTTCCCGCTGCGGGTGCCCGCCCCCGGGAACAGCGCCAAGTTCTCCGCGGAGGGGAGACCGCGGTCCTCAAGGGCAGATCCACGGAGGACGAGAGTGTGGCCCCCATCACCTCCCCCTCCATGCACCCTTGGGCAAAGCCACACTGGTTGTCTGGCCTGACCCAGGCTGCTGGTGACAGGGTTTCCCCGGTGGGAACACGGGAAGCGAGGAGAAATGGGCCTTTGTGTGTTTCCTGATGCAGAATAGGCTGGGTGGGCGCAGGTCCACTGGGGAGGGGGCAGCCGCTGCCTCCGTCCCCAGCCTCCAGTCTATCTGGTGCTGAGAGCAATTCAGCCCCCCTTTCCAGTTTCAGACTGGTTCTCAAACTCCCAAACTAGTAGCCCCCAAACCTGTCTTCCCCTTCCCAAAGGACCAGGCAATACTGGAACTTGCCTTCCCACTTACGCTCCAATTCAAAACAAAGAGCAATTTCCAAGGGAGATGAAGACCCCCACCCAGGAGGAGGAAAATCAATGGGTTACAAAGTAAATGGCAATCCTTCAGATTGTTATCCAGCCCTGTGGATGTGGCATCGTTTTGTCAGCATTGCTGCTGGAGAAACCACAAAGCAATCTTACAAAGCAGTGGTCCTCACAGGGACTGGGGTCCAGCTTTCCGTTTCCAGTAGTCCTATTCTAGGCTGGTAATCTTCTCTGAGAAACCCAAGCGTCAAAGCCATCCCCATCCTCATCCTTCCCACCTAGACTATCACTGTCTTATTCCACTTCTAAAACAAATGCTCCAGGTAGAGAAGAGAGAGGCAGCAAGACCCTCTTGGGAAGGTGGGAACGCTCAATTCCCAACTTTCTGTGTCCAGAGGGAGGGGAGAAAACAGGGATTGCCCTTCTATTTGTTACTTTAGGTTTAGGCTAAAATGAGAAACCACTTTAATGGGACTTCTTCCCACCCCAGGTGGAAAAGAGAGGCAGAGAAACCCCCACCCCTGGAGCTGTTCTGGAAAAAAGTAGCAAATGACTTACTGGTTCTCTCTCCTAGAGGGCAGGGGAGCTGAGAGTGGAACGGCCTCCTGTGCCCGGCGCTAGCTGGAGCCTCTCACTTTCCTATCGCTGCTCCAGGAACCAAGCATCTGCACTTGTATGCTCTTAACCTAATTTATGGTGGGAATTATATTTTGGCTTGTCAACTCTCGAGCCATAAAACAAAGTTTATTGGAATCACGTGCTCGTAAATAGCCATTCAGGTCCCATCTCTGTAGAACCATAAATAACCTTTGGCTTTAAACTTTTATTCACTAAATAAAGGTTCACTGCAACTGTTCCCTCACATTTAAATAGTCCCAAATATCCAGAAGGCAGGGGGGGTCAGATTCATAGCCATGCCCCAGGCTTTTCAAATGGCATCTTTTCAGAGAAGTCCCTTTAAGTTGGGAGATAGTGCTATTTGGAAAAGGCTGGTTGGTGGGCATGTCTTATGATTCTTGGCTGCATTCGCTGTGAGTACCTTCAACTCCTTTATTTCAATCACTTTCTAGCTCTAGATATGGTAAATAAATAAAGAGAAAAGTCAGAGGCCACTTTTTAACTTGCTTATACCAGAAATTATTTGAGATTTTTTGTTCAAGCTTCAATAGTAAAAAAAAAAAAGGGTGTTTTGGAGAAGTTGGGTGGGCTTGGGGGTGAGCGGCAGTTGGAGTTAACACTTGGCTCTGCATTGTTGTGGAGGGGTTCAGCGAAGTCTGAGGTAGCCACATGCCTAGAAGTTTCTATAATTTGCTTAGATCTGAGAGGAAAGCCTTTGCAAGTGACCAAACTGCTTAAAACAGCAAGACTTGGGGGGTTTGGTAAAGTGCGAAAGTAGAGAATAGCTCCGTCGGAATCTTTGGCAACTGAAGCTCTAAAGAAGGTTATAAAACAATAAAACAGCCCTGGTGTGAAGGGGAGAGGGTGTGAGGAAGCAAATGAGGCTCTGAAGGGACCCAAGCCCAGGAAGTCAGATGTCCCCACTCCCCCAGTGCCCCAATCACAGGGCTCAGTCCGGGGCCCAAACCTGGATGGGTCATCTCCCCCCAACTCCTGAACTGCCACTCCCACCAGGGAGAGAGCCTAAGAGAGCTGGGGGAGCATGCCTTCCTGCTGAGAAAGCCCAGGAAAGGAGCTTGGGCCAGAGGGCTGCTCTACTGGAGAGTGTGACATTCTATGCTTGGGGGAGGTGCGGGAGGGGGTGGGAAAGGTGCCCCCAGCTCCCACCACCAGCAGTAAATACGAAGAACTGATCCCCAGCATCCTCCCACAGCCTGCCAGAGTGCCCCCAAACAGGGTAAGAACATGTGCGATTTTTCCAACTCTGATGAAAAGGATGGATGTTCTGTGTAAATTTGTAGAGCACATACACGTATATAATTTCTTAGTCAAACTCAGTTGCAAAAGTTCTCATCAGCAAGTCCCATCAAGCGCATAAAAGAGACCCCTTTCTGCAAAGATCACTTTGCATTCTAATTTCCACCCATTCTCCATGCATTTCAAAACCCATTTCCTGATTTGACTTTCATT